CGCGGTGAGGGGGGGGGGGGGGGGGGGGATCAGTGGAACGAATGACAGGAAAGAATTGCCTAGGGCAGAGCAGCTGTTGAAATGTTTACCCTGGTGTAGACAGCGAGGCTTTTTCCTAGCCCAAACCCGCTGCCTGATGTAATAATACACATCGTTTCCAACCCAATGGAACGCTGGAACAAATACGCAGAGGAAATCAAGGCTCTGTCCATCAGCAGGATAATTCTCCAAAACCAGAATGGAGCGAGCCCAAATTTGCTGTGGGAGGAGAAGCCGGCAAAAGACAGATTGCATTTGAAAACGGACTGCATCCAGCCAGGAGTTGCAGAGAATTTAAAAGGAGCCTTCAAAAAATATCTCCCCAGCGAATCTGGATGGGAAAAGGCCACAGGGCAGCGGCTCGAGGTGTGGGTGAGTTCTCCATTCTGAGCCCCCTCCCTCCTAGTTGTGTGACTTACACCGGAGCCATTATTAAGCAGTTGTGAAGAATTCCAGAAGCCACACTCTCTACACTTTCCCTATTTTGTGTTAAATCGCAGTAACCAAAACAGCAGCGATTGCTGTCATCAAGCAGCTATTCCTCCCCTTGCAAATCCTAACTCTCCATTAGATTTGTTGGGCCAAGGGGCGACTAAACCGAGGTTGGGTCCAAGTTTACTGCTGCCCTGTACAATTATTTGTGTTGTGTTCCAAAGGAGGTCCCTGTGGGATAGGCTAAGCCTGCAGTGCGGTCTCACGGGAAGCCGAGAGGATGCCGATGCTCCGTCCTGCCTGCCAATTGCAAGGGCCCATGCGCACAATCCAATCTTGGATCAGGAGCCAAAACTTCAGTGCATTGGGTCTTGTGCAGTTTCGGACTGAAATGCAGCGACTTTCCAACAATCACGCCCCACTTAGGCATAATGGGATTTGTTCGATGCGGGCTTGCGTGGGCCAGAAATTCCAGCCTGTGGGCCACCTTTGGGGGCTTAGTGCAATTTGTGAAGCTAGTCAGGAGTGGCTTATTCCATAAGCCACGATGAAACAAGAGGTGCTTTAGTGCAACATGTAAACCGGACCACTGCAGAGCCTCTTTGCAAGATCACACCTCCGATCCAATTCTTTTCACTTCTAAATTCTTTTACATCCGAATTGGTTTGCCACTAAGCTCTTGCCCTCGGTACGTCTTCTCTTGTGTAGCAATTCCCTCATTTTGAATATTGCATCTGTAAGCCCCTTTTCGTCTTCTCCTGCTCTAGGTAGATAAATTCATAGTAGGTCAGGAGGAGGAGAGGGCTTGGGTTCAAACATATTTAGAGCCGTTTCTCAACCTTGGCAACTTGAAGTCCACACATCTCCAAGCTGCCAAGGTTGAGAAACATTGGTTTAGAGGGTTTGTCTAAATCCAATTACTCAGCCCAGATTTGTGGCCAGTTGCTCCCCTTCTCTGGTCCTCATCCTTATCATGAGCTCTGTTGGGTTCACAGCTTTACAACTGATGGCCCTTCCCCCAGAGGTGCCATTTCAGCAGCTCCTGTAATGCCATCAGGCATCTCTTCCGAACTCCTGCCTGCAAGAAGGCAGGCACCACAGAGGGAAGGGATGGAGGAAAGGAGCAAGGGAGATCCAAGAGGAGGGCCAAGTCAAATCCCTGCTCTTGTTCGCCTGATGGATTTCAGTGCCAAGAAACCCAGCGGGGGTCTCCTTCAGGCCTGGCTCAACACCCCGCGGGACCAATTTTCTGCTGATTTGTCTTCTCATCGGAGACTGGCACAGTGGATCCAACACATGACAAGCCCCCAAGCTGAGCCTTGGTTTTTGGTGGGAAAGTTGGCCATTCAGGACTTTTAGCGTGCAGTGGAAAAGGAGGACAAGGGACTCTGAGCATCCTGGCATTTTGGAACTGACTCTCAGGAGCTCAGCACCCCTCAAACTGGCACAGCCACAAGGGTGTTCAGGCAGTGGCTTCTTCAGTGTATTGTGCTGGTTTCTCCCCCCGTCCCCCCCCCATGAACCCCCAGCTCTTTGTGAACAGAAAAAACAAGATTTACAAATTACACCTTTCCCAGCTTTAGGCCTGTATAAATCCCTGTTCTGTTCAGACCCCCCTCCCTCCCCCCTTGCACACACACAGAACAAAGTCCAGAGCTTCGAGTCATCTTGAAGCAACGGAGGGCCCATCTTCCACAGTCCTTCTTGTAGAAATCTAGGAAGAATGTGCCCCAAAGTGTGAGATGCTGTTTATCATTTTTTTTTCCAGGTGGCAGGGAGCCTGCTATACCAAAGGAATATTATGCAAAGGAATCCAAAGGAGTAACAGATTTTGGCATAACAGTTTTCTAGTCCTCAGGGTGGTTTTGAAGAAACTGCCTCGTTACGGTTTGTGGCTTTCTTAGTTATCGGTTTCAACAGTCATGAAATGCAATTTGGTCACCGCGATATGTCCACCCCCTCGCCGCTGTATTATAATATTCAAACCAAAACACATCAAAGGGAATGTAAAGGATTTCCCCTTCCTCCCCCCCACCCCCCAAAATGAGGCACCATTGCAGAGGACATTCTCTGGCCTCTCCCCCATCACGATGTCTCTTTTGAGTTCCAGTTGTGGAAAAAGTAAAGAACAGCCCCCCCCCCCCCAAAAAAGGTTAAGTT